CCTTTTCGTTCATCTGAGGAGCTCGTTTGGACTTTTCTGCAACTCTTCTGCTAGATATGACAATACGAGTGTTTTGCGTGGAGCGGGATTTACCACTTCGAGTGAGCCTATGGATCAATGCGACTACTGGAGAACAAGACCATCGGGCATAATTGCAGAGACATGTTGCAGCTACCAACCAGCCTAAGCGTGATATTATAAGAGTAAACACATGCGTCACTCTGAACAGAAACTTTCCGGTGTAATCCATCCATTTCTCTAAGTTTCAGCATAATGCCGCGCTTTACCGCATGCGGCTACCTAAGACAAATCATTTCGGTGATAGATAAACGGATGACATAGGTGTAGCCAAAGCATACATTCCTCTACCAGGAACTGACTTAGAACAGCCAACCGAAGATTCAAGACTGTTACAGCATGGGGTGCGCGACCTTTGGTCAGTTGTTTCTATCCAGCGCCAAAATTCCCCATGAGCTAAACTCAAAATGAGTTTTTCTAAAATAATTCTTTATTCGGTCTTTGTGTCACCGTTCAGATCTGGTGGTCGCGCAGACTGCTCCTCGACTATCCACATAGTGGTTGTCTGAGAACACGATCCGGTGACATGCGTTCTACGTGAAGTTACCTGTGCAGCTGAGTTACGCCGGCTCAGCTGTACACAATTACACAAATGAGGTCAGCTAGGCACACACAATTACACATACACAATTACACAAATGAGGTCAGCTAGGCACTGGAGTTACAAAGTTACCAGAAGTACAAATTTGGTGGTATACGTGCAATCAGTGGTGCTCCGTCGATGGCAGGGCATCCTGAGATAGTAACATGTACCTGGTGGCCTGTTCTGCCAGCTGTTTTGATTGTGGACAGCATTGATGTTCATGGTAGTAGACGAGATCCACAAACCTTCTGTTCCCCATAATTTATGTGATGACCGCAGTAGCTCTGACAGGTACGTGCGTTGCTGACGCGCCACTTCAATCAACAACAAGAAGGGCAATCAAAGAAAAAAAACAGATTACTAGCTTCTTAGTCATAAAAGCATGTGATCCAGACATACCACAAACCTGATCCAAACGGATCGTTCTACATACTTCCACGTGATATGGCCTCGGCGCATTGAGGTGAACACAGCTGTCAAAAAATTGTTGAGTAGGCACTTTCAACTTTGTGTCTAGAAGACGCTAAATCGATTGAGCCATTGTCATGCTCGATGAGCTCGTACCGTTTTGGTTAGGCGCACCCTCCAAATAAATTACCCATTTCTATCTCCCTTTTGATCTATCAAGTTTTGTATGGCAGTTAAATATTCCCGACAGGCTTCCATCTCATGATCTATCTATCTATCTATCTATCTATCTAACTACCTATCTATCTATCTATCTATCTATCTATCTATCT